TTTTTATTACTTTGTTTATGTATTGTATTCTATAAGCTGATAAGAAAAACAATAAAACGATTTTTTACATATATTTATTATATAAAATGATCAATGTGATTAGAATTGTTACACTAACGTGAAAGTGGTATTGACAATTTTTAGATGAAGGTTCAAATTTCCAACACTAAACCGGTAATGAATAAACTACAAAAAACATATTTAAAATTCTATTTATGCAAATTAATATTTCGTTATGAATATATTTCTAGATTCATTTACATAATTTACGTTAACACATATAGCTGTAATATAATTCAGTAATTTTTCATTTAAACTTTCAACCAAATTAATCAATTTTTGATCGTCAATCGGTGGTTCATAAAATTTCTCCTCAATTSGATTGTRAAGACAATGGGAATAAACCGTGGATACATGAACAAAACTCTATTACAGTGAACATAAAAAATATTTCTAAAATTCTATTTTTTCATTGAGAAATTTAGAAAGTTTATAATTAATGCACATAAAGTTAAATATTCGTACCTTCAACCTTGGCATTTCCTTTGAGAGGCTAATCATATAATTCAATGCTTGTAAGTTCGTAACTGTCGCTGATTTTAGAGTTTCGTTGAATCTTGTCGTAGCTGCAGCATGAAAAACAATGGAAATTTCTTTTATTAAAATATTTCTATCTACAATTGTCATTCCAAGATTCGGCAAAGTACAATCCCCCATAATGCAAACTATTTTTTCTTGGAATTTGGGTTGTTCTTCTCGTAGTTTAGAAAATACCTGGAAAGTGAGCATAGAAAACGTTGTATATTCTATCTATTCAATATATTTATATATTATATAGCGTATGATTTCTATACTTTTTTTTAACTTTTTATAATTTCAACGATTGTTAAAAATAATAGCAGATATTAATTTTGATTGATTAAATACGTATAACAAGTACTATTTTATAAAAAAAAATAATTTTTGTGTTATGTAAAAGTAAACAAAAATTAAGAATATAATATTTGATTATTTTTTTCAAACTTACCGTATCTTGGAATAATTCATTTTTACGTTGAAGTACGTCTTTCCTTTTTTTCGGACGAATTAAAATATAAATGCACATAATGATAGGACAATTTCTTAACTATTTCTCGATTAATAACTTGCCCATAAAACCTGTTCCGCCAGTTATGAATATACTTTGACCATCATAAAATTCCTGAATTGGAGTAAGCTTCTTTTCACTCTTATTTGACGACTGCATTTTTTTWGGTTTCAATTTTAATTTTTTACTAGTTTTAGTTTAGACTTCTTTTATAAAGTTTACAAAAATCTAGGATTAACTTTGTTGAATATTTTTTTTTTTATATCAAGAATTTTAGACACATGAAATCTAGGAAATTTAAGTACTTTTTATACGAAGGCAGAGTATAATTTTTGCAGTAATTTAAAACAATTAATACAAAAAAGGAATTTTCGTAATACTTGATTTTCATAAACTGWGTGATCGTATTGTTCTAAGTATCTGTGAGTACTGATGTCTAGCATAGAATCAACTGATCATTTTAATAATTCTTACTTAAATCTTTGACACCTGCATAATTTTAATTTTTAATAAATACTTATTATCTAAYGTATTTTTTACTTATTTTAGAATAATTTTGCTTATAAGTTACATTTTTTCTATTGATAAAAAAAGGTATTCTTATAGTTAATTTATTCATTGAAAGGTTTTTATGTCGTATTTAACGTGATTAAATATGTGTGAAGAAAAACGAGTTGTGAATGAGTTACTGAAAACGTAATTAAGATTTTATTGACGCATATTATTTCGTAATATTGGATAGATTTCTAGATTTATTTACATAAATTTCAGTAACACGTATAGCTGTGTAAACATTAAAAAATATTGACATTAAAATATTTTTTATTTAAAAGAGATTAAAGAAAATAAATTTTATTATATAATGCAATTAACATTTAAGTTTAACGATAATCACAAATTTTTAAATTCAATTACATGCACAATCTTTTCTATATGCAAGTTCTAAAGTAGTTACTTCCAATTCATAACATTTATTGTAAATACATAACATTTATTGTTACACATTCATAAAATAGATAAAGGTGTTTAATTAAAACTTTTGGTGAATATAAAAAATGTCACTTCATCTTTCGTGTCCGAATTGCCGGAAAAAAAAATTTTATTTTAAGCAGACAGTGTACGATCCGAAATGATTGTACGGTAACTAGCTGTATTCGAAATGTGCACGTCTGATTCTATCGATTRCGATTCTAGATCGATACTCGTTACGAGTATCGAGCAACTACAAGCGACTATCGAAGCGCTACGATAGCTACTCCCACTTCTCGCATCCCCACCACATGCGCCCTGATGGGCCAGTACAAAGGGAAATTATTCCTATTTAATCACTGAACGCCCTACGACGATACATCTTCAGCACCTAAGGGCCGTAGAAGCCACAAGGAACAAAGGACTTAAGGATTCACAAGGAACAACAGAGGAACACCCGARCCTTTGCGGTTGTGAACGTAAGTGATTTTAACCCTCAACCTTTACGGTTGTGATCGCTATACGTGAAGCGTGCGAGAGGTGAGATCTTTCCATCCTATACTTTCCACTCGAACTATATTATTCCTGCGTAGCTATGCCACGTGGTGGATCCCCATTCTTTTACACGACAAATATCATTTAGGGTTTTTATGCCGCAAGGCTTTTACCTGACAAGCCAATAAAGCATCGCATCTTTGATTGGCCCCCAACCACGTGTTTTATTTTATATSTAAACTTWACTAATTATTCTCAACATCATAGCACATACATACTTGTACGAGGATACTAAATCGAGGAATTTAGCCCCCAATAGACAAAATGTGATATTTAATTTACAAATCAAAATCCATACAATCTTGAGAAAACTACTAGCCAATAAAAATTTTAACATTTGATGAATCCAGTAAAGCCTAAGAAATAAAAAAAACAGTAAGAATTATTTGAAAGAAATTTTAAATAATAGATTAATAATTAAAAGACAAAAAAGGGATAAATACCTTCTCCACTTCTTATGAGCTAGTGGTATAGTTTCCATGGGATCCTTTAAGAGGTATAATCTTATACCTAATAGAAATGTTTTAAAATAGGTATCCCAAACAACGTCTTTTATATCGCAATAGAATAATTCTTGATCTTCTTTTTGTAATTTACKGAGTGCTTCTGTCCATCTTTCATTTTTAAACTTCCATTCTTTTAAAGAAAAATAACTGAGTGCTTTCAACATTTTGTGTAATCTAATATACATTCTAACAAACCTAAAATAAGCAAAAAAAAAAAAATAAATAAATGAGATATATTGAAATTTCTTTGGAAAATTTGTATTCCTATAAAAAAAGAATGTTCGAAATAATTATACTTTGGCTTTTTGGCGCAGCATAACATTCCAAAATCTAATATGGTAGCTGGTAGATAATGTAAAAAATATATGCAGAAAAGATGAAGTAATAGACTTTTTCTACCAGCACAGCTACAATACCAAACTGCATCTTTGAACGGTGTTAATAATCCATGCTCTAATGTCAATACTCTCATCTGATTGTAAGTTATAGGATTGTCATCAGATGTATAGTTATATATTGGAATATCTTCTTCGGATCTAAAGTAGAAAATGTAATATTTAAAAAAAAAAAAATTATATAATTGAATTTTATTCAAAAAGTTTTCTTCATACTATGATAAAAGTATTTTTTTTTTAGCAAATAATTATTCGATACCTTCGATTGTTTGCTATGTCCCATGCGCTAACTATTATTGCATTTATAGTCAAATCTCCTGGTACTATAGCTGGTTTTACGGATTCATCGCAATGATGCGATCTGATTAAACCTTTTGCAGCACCAGCGAAAATCCCCATTGGACCATTATAATTATCGACCCATCCTTCGATCGGTTCGCGATACGTTGATATCACTGTTAACATTATTTTTATTAAAATTGTTGTTTCTTTATTTTCTATAAGATTATGTTTATACTAACCAATTCCTGGACGGAATATTCCGATCGGTAGCAAACCAGCTTGTTTCTTTATTATATTTTCAGCTATTGATTTAGTGTAAACATAAGTATTYGGCCATCCCTYAATTAATCTAAAATCATATATTTTTTTTAAATATATTTATARTAAATTATAGAGAAAKTAGTTTAAATAATTGATTATTAAAGATATACGTACCTTGTTGAAACATTATCCACTAATTCATCATTTAWAYTTTCMAMCAWATTRATCAATTTTTCATCGTCAATCGGTGGTTCATAAAATTTCTCCTCAATTGGATTGTGAAGACAACAGGAATAARCCGTGGATACATGAACAAAACTCTAATACATTCAACATAATGAATTTTTACAACATTTTATATCTTCATTTATTTTAASAARAAATTYAACAAGCTTATAATTAATGCACATAAAGTTAAATATTTGTACCTTTAACTTTGGCATTTCCTTTGAGAGGCTAATCATATATTTTAATGCTTGTACGTTCGTAACTGTCGCTGATTTTAGAGTTTCGTTGAATCTTGTCGTAGCTGCAGCATGAAAAACAATGGAAATTTCTTTTATTAAAATATTYCTATCTAYAATYGTCATTCCAAGATTCGGCAAAGTACAATCCCCCATAATGCAAACTATTTTTTCTTGGAATTTGGGTTGTTCTTTTTTTAGTTTGGAAAATACCTAGAACGTTATCATAGATAAATTTAAATATGTTTTTATTTTGTTGTTGTTGTTGTTATTTTCATATCTTTTTATAAATACGTATTATTTAAAGAATGTATTTTTTGTCAAAATTTTATAAGTTCAACTTATTTAAAAAA